TCAGGTCTATCTGGCGACCAGTGAATGAGCGACAACAGATGAAGAATTGTGTCATTGAATATATTTACATGTATAGTACACTGTTACTGTATATATGAATCTTTGTGAATGGCACTTAAGTTGCTTATTCACTCATGTACGTTATAAAAGATATTCAGCACTGACTGCTACTCTAGCAAGTGATTGGCTGTTTAAATGATGAATTACCTCTTACTGGATCCCGCCCCGAAGCACCATTGGCTTTTATATCGTAATGAAAATTAATTAATGTTATTTTGTGAACTGAACTAAATTAGCACAAAATTCATCTAATTATGCAATTACAATAATTAGATTCATATAGCTTATAAAAGAGAGTAATGAAAAATGAATAATAATAGATATTATGTAAGAGCATAAAACATCACACCAAACAAGGAGATAATTTACAGAATGACGAATAACTTAGAGTGGAAAGAAAAATAATTTAAAAAGTAGTTTTATGATTGTAAAATGAGAATATACAAAGAAATATTTAGGGTACTAAAATGGTGTATGGTCTTCTTTCCTGTTGCATGGTGGTAAATTAACACTAACATATTATAAACCTTTCTCTAGTTATGTAGCCTATTATTTGGGAAAGTATCTCCAGACTCAATTTAAAGCATGACTATTTCTCCACACAAGCATGAATTATGACATTTCAGTGGTTGTTACGTTATATGTGGACACCATGTAGATCCTCATGTAGCAACAAAAAAAAGAAAGAAAAGAAAGAAAGAAAAACATGGAGAGAAGGAATTACACTTGAATTCATGGTTTCTGCTGATCAAATTTGAAAAAAAAACCTTTAAGAAAAAAATAAGAAACTTTGTAAATCATTTCTAAAGATACACAGCGCTAAGTAATTCTATCCGCAGTTAATTTGTCGACAGCGGATAAAAAGTACACCAAAAATGACATTTTACCATCAACACGCTGCTTTTGCGTCATACGCGAGATCTCCAGATAACAGATCTATAGAAATTGTTATGTCACCTTTCGTGCAGACAGACGCTCATCAAAAATAAACCTATAATGTTATATGCCATAATTCATTAATATTATGCTCTTGGTAACGGTGGTTTTACGTCTTTCCTTTCATTGTACACTGTAAGACAGATTTTAAGAAGACATCAAACCATCTTCACTTTTCTTGGAAAAAACGCTCGGAAACAACTTAAAGGATTTGAAAACGTATTCCATTATCTTCAGATGTGAAAGAAATCTTAGAAGCCGCGACTATTAAATGGCTTAGCATGTGTTAGATTCATCGATGTTTACCAGTCAAGACTTCAGCGCTTGTGTATTAATAACAGAAGTTTTATTATGTCCTTAGCTTTATATCGCAACTTTGTTGTGTCGAGAAAGATACACTTCAGCTATACTTCACAGGCCAAATACTTCAAAACAACAAGTCATTCAGGGGACACGACTACCATTATGGAGTCAATAGTCTGTTCTAATGATAATAATAGAGACATTATTGATAGATGTTATTGCCATACGTAGTTTACCTATCATGTTTTTTTCCGATGTTACGCAACAACATGGGTTGTGGGGTTCTTCCAGAGGATTAGGCATTGTGTTGAAGTTGTCGCGTTTACATTAATGGTCAACGAAATGATCTTTTTATGAGACTTTTAACTGTTATGGACCCATATCACATTGCGTGATATACGTAAGCAATGGCGTCTGGACCGGTGTAACGGGAATGGTAATCCTAGGAATGGTAGCCTGGGGTCCCATATGATTAGAACAGGCTAGGGTTAGTCGTATTATTGGGGGTAGTATGCTAGTATGCAATGAATGTCACCTGTTCAAAGTGGTGGGGAACGGACTACGGTCCCTGACGGACCACCATTCCTGTCACACCGGTACTGTTTGCAATTACGCTGCAAGGGTTTTTACTCCCTTTTACAAGATTTCTACAAACTCGCAACTGAAACCCAGTTTTATCAAGGCTGTATAACGCTACCCTATGGATACATGCTACACTGCCCGTTTGATAAAAAACGTTGTCCTCTGAGCAGTTATCCTAAGGGTAGCAGCTATTCCACTGATTAAAAATATCAGAGACAAAAAGTATCCAGCGTTTGGCAAACATTACTTAACCCACAGCATGAATGATGATGATAATTTTATCCAATGGACAGTGCTATCCATAAGATAGCGCCGTCTTGCCTTGAAATTGTTTCGGTGTGAAAAGAGCTTTACATACGTCAGAAGCAAGCGAAGTGTTGAGAAATGTAAAAAAATATTCATTTGCTGCACGCATGTACGTTTTTTTATTTATTCATTTATTTTAATTATTATTACTGATACGACTGAGGATGGATCCAAGGCGTTTTTTTATCCATTGGAAAAGAGCCGCAACCACAATCGAGAGTCCGATAACGAGAAGAGATGAATATATCCAGGACATTCAAGACCCTTTTTAATAGGCCAGTATATTAACGTGAAGAATGAACATTTTCAAAAGCAAGTTACGGCAACCTCTCCCATTTCTTCATGTGCACCTAGCATAATTTTTGTAGATATATTGATTATTTGCATATTTTAATTAAAGGTGGATATAAACACGTAGATATCTACATGTACGCACACATTCAACACAGGCCTCACGTGTTTGGACACACAGTTGTTAATTATCGTAGGAGTGCGTTCTGAAGCACGTAGGAGTATGCTCTGAAAATCGAGGCTGCATCTTGTTTTGTTCCGATGAAAAAAAATACAAGGAAATAGTTTACTGAATCCAGTTTGAATTCAATGTAAATCTGACAAATGACAATATGCACGAGAGGTTTCGACCGGTTCTAAAAATGAAGAAAATTGAATAAAATCTTGTCATCGCCATCAATTCCTTTTCGCCGGCTGCGTCTAGGGCATCAACAACGAATGTATGGTTCCCAGCTTTTCCCAGTTGTTTCAGCTCTGCTTTGACGGTCCTTCTCCATGTGGTTTTAGGTCTGCCTCTTTTTCCGTCTCTCTGGTGTCCAGTGCATAGTTACTCTTAAAGTAATTAAGATAACTAAAAGTACATGTAGCTTTACAAGCATGTAAACAAACATACTATGCATATAGAATTTGCTACTTTAAGAGTACTTGCATTTGTCGGTGTGCTCACATAGACAAAATTGAACGGAATCTAGTGGGAGAAGAGTTTTGCTGAAGGTGACGCGGTGGAGGGGGGCGTGGGTGCAGGGAAAAAAGGCACAATTAGCTTACAAAAAATTATTGGAAAGTCTGCACGCAAAATCTCGAACGAAATCTAAAGTTGTTGGGTCACGTAACCCTACGCTCCACAGTTACTCTTGGTTCGTTATCTTAATGGTTTTTTCCAAAAAAAAAATAGATGAATAAATAACCAATCTCTACTGTTATGCTTCTTTAGGTCGGGTTTGCTCGTGCTGAGCTTGCCACCGAAGAATCATTTCAAACATAGAACGCTCCTCATCATTTTGCTACTGCAACACAACAGCCTATTTCTGAACAAGTCGTGCGTGCTAAATATGTAATGCAATTCTTAAAAGGTAAATAGAGTTAAGCAGGAACTTGATGATTATCTAAAGGCTGCGATAATGGATCGAGAGAGCCTAACATTCACTTTAGCTGATGTTCGTGATATCCACGCCAAATTTCCAATAGTCTTCTTTACGAATGTGGGTGAGCTCACTTGCTAAATCCAAAACACTATGTGAATAATGTTTAGATGCAACTTTTTTGTACGTTGGTTGTAATCAAATTGCATAAAGAGACCGTACTGGTAGCATGCTTTGAAACTGGAAGGATAATAAAGAGCCAAAAATTTCAAGAGCCAAGTTAATAAAAGCTCACTGCAAATGCGGCGTCCCCATTTTCCTTAACTGAAGGACCGATTAAAACATTGTTTGATGGGTGATAGGACATCAACTTAGATATTAGTTCTTTAATTTAATACAATGTAACCAGGGTGTCGTTAACCATACGTTGTATGATGGAAGGAATGCCTCCTATTCTATAACATTAACAGTCAGTTGTGGGTGAAATGCAAAGAGAACAAACCTTGAATGTATTGCCTCACGAATGACCTTGCTAGGAGAAATCTTGAGGGCAGATCTGCATCGTATTGGAGTCAGTTAGGGCTCAGTCAAATACATGCATCATTCAAGTAGTTATGTTATATCATGGACCTAATCTTTCATTAGGTCCATGGTTATATCATTGCTTAATAGTATATATATTTATTTATAATCATGTATCTAGTGAACATTTTCGCCGTCCCATGTAGGCCTATACGCTCCTAGTATGATGAATAACGCTTGTGCTTAAAAACATGTATTCTGAGAGGGAGAGAGAGCGTCGACGTACGTCAGTCCTTTTGTCCTGTGTAGGTCTGACTTATCCCGCCACAGAGGACGCATTACTTTCATGATACTGACCCTCTACCAGGGCCACGAATTTATCATTTTATTGAGAAATCCACAGATATGTCTCTGGCTTATTCTGTACATTTATCTCTACTGTCCAGTCAGATTTTCGTGTGTGGGATTTACAACATTACTCAGCTGGCCTCTAGCAAGGTCTAGTAAATGTGAAAACTCAAGGTGTAGTAATGGAAAGCGCATAATGGCAGATTCGCCGTCAGTTCTTTGATGCCTAGAGTGGGCACATGATTAGCCACATTAACTGTACTTTAATTAACGTACAACAGCTGGCCACTTATAGATTATATAGTGCGTTGACAGTTAGTAACAATCATGTTTACACTTGAAACATTGGTGTCTTTATTATCAGTGTGTCGCTCATTGCGTTAGGTGAAGGCAGGAGACACGTTTGTATAGAAATAAATATCTTCCCTACGACGACGCTGATTTTGTTATAGCCCGTATTGACACAAGATGACGTCATGCCCATCAAGACCAATAGCATTGCTCTCAATCGGGCTGAACATACAGCGGGATATCGAATCCCTGCTGTTTTTATTACTGGGAATCGTTGCAGGCGGTACTACACTGCAAAAACAGCGAGGACGCGTGCATATGTTTCCAATGATTCTTCAGCAGCATACGACAACTGATAAATACGCGAGTTAAATGCAAACCGTTGACAGTTGGTTTGGAGAGAGAGTGCCGTTGAAGTCGACTGCTCCTTTTTCAGAAAAGATTGACTTGAAGTTGTTGCATGAAATTTTACATGCAAAACGAAAGAACATGAAAAGTGTGTGTTTGAATTAAGGCAGCTAAGCAATTTTAAAGACATACTTCGTGGTGATTCGACCTTATATCTGTATGTGAACTGGACTAAAAGATTTTTCAGTTCAACATGTCTCGCCCGCGTTCCAGAACAGTAAGTGAACCGTTAAGCAAACGACCCGGACAAAACTGCGAGGGGGGCTCACCGTCTCTCCCGTGTGGACGACCTCCACACAGGGCCCCCAACATCAGGTACTGCAGCTCGCGACCGCGGACCCGGTCGCCGTCGCCTTCGCCTGTGATCAGCCCTCTCACCTCGTCACCGCCGGCACAAGCGGCAATCTCGTCGCCGCAGAGACGCCAGGCTACCAAATGCATGACGACGCCGAAAATGACGAAAAAGCCGGTACATTTAGACTTTGTGAACGACACTTGGGGGATGCGACCCCGCTCACAGACTATGCCCACGAAAACGTCGGTCCGTCCCCCGTTTTATCCAAATAGGGATTCTTTTGAGTTACGCTCACCCATTTGCAAAACAGCAGACGATGACCATTTCCCTTACGATGACTGCACGAGGGTTCGTTCTTTTACCCTGTCTTCAAAGGGACTTCAAAACAAAGGGGACACGGTGAAGCACACGAGTAGCATGCAGATCGGAGCCTCTTCTTGCGATAATTGCTGCGCCGCGGCGGCCGAAGAGTACCGCGACCGCACATCGAGCGTCAACTCTCGTGGGAGCGGGACGCAGACCAGTGAAGACAGCTCTGGGCACGAGAAGATTCCCTACAAGGTGGCCATTCTGGGAGCAATGGGCGTCGGTCGGACAGCCCTGACACGCCAGTTTCTTACCTCTGAATACCTTGGGGCTTTTGACACAAGCTTTGGTAAGTGGTTCGCTGGTCTTAAGTGTTCGCTAAGTTGTAACTGGACTCAAGCAGTTTAATAGCGCTTCCCTCAAATCACTTTTCTCACGATTGAATGTGAACATTTGAGTCAAGTCATTGACACACTCCTTCTTTGTACTGATTTCGTAATTGTTTTGTATCGCTTGATGATTACTGATGGTTTCTTTACATGTTGGAGGGTAGAGCAGCATAAAGAAGGGAACATAATATGGCAAGTCAGATTCATACAAGCTTCACACAAAATCTGTGCATCACCGATACGTGGTTCAAATGTTCAAATTCACTTTATTGGGGATGGTCCATTTAACATATTACTTTATATAACGTTCTTACTGACATCTCAATCTATGGCCGCATTCACATCGAGTTGAGCCATGGCTCTACAAAGCCACGACCTAAATATGGCGGACGTACATGAAAGGAAAAACGCTTAATCTTTTAATAGTCTCTCCGCCTCTCACACTCCTCCCCAGCTTCCAGGCGAATGGAGCTGAGATTTAATCACTGTACCCCCGCAGGGACGACTCGTGGGGTGGCGTGTGAGAGGCGGAGAGACTATTAAAAGTTTAGGCGGTTTTCCTTTCATGTACGTCCGCCATATTTAGGTCGTGGCTTTGTAGAGACATGGCTCAAGTCGTTGTCAATGCGGCCTTTCTGAAATCTAAAAGCTGGAAGGTCGCTATAATTCTCCTGCGAGTTGGTACATGTAAGAGATTAGATTTATAAATTCTAATCCAACCTATTATCTTCAACATTTAACCACTCAATATCCTTGCCTTCATTCCATACCTGCTCCATATTCCTCATAGAAGGTTTGCAAATTGTATTAGCCGTTGTCAGGCTGCAAAATAGTTCGTTCGGTGGTCAGAAAATCTCGCGAGGATTTCAAGCCGCGGAGAGAATATCTGGCGGGCATTTTTGTTACATGCTTGAAAGGTATTGATGTAGGGCTATTTATTGATATATCAGTCTATTTAGATGGAGTCAATAGGTTGTAGTGGGAGGACCGAGGTCGAACTGAGGAAATTTGTACAGCTCTTCTTATTAATCAGGGACTTAAGAACACCTTCTTACTTTATTCTCATATCTCTGAACGAGACAGGAGTACCGGTAGGAGCATTGCGATATACACGGTACATGTATATTGCTGAAAGAAGGCGTATTTCCTCCATTTCCAGGATATTATCGGCCGATTCTCCGAAAAATCACCCCGTTTGTCATCCCTACATGCTCATTGCATCTTGGTTGTAGTTGTTGACGAATTCGAATGTTTGACACCAAACAAGAACTGCACCAGTTTCTTGTATGTGTGACTCATTGATTAATGTATTTGTGTCCTAATATCGTGCCACACATATATGCGTGACCACTATAACTCCACCCCAACTCGCTGCATGCACTCGGTACTTTCCTTCTGAGGGCTGGGAAGTCGCCCCATCGATCTACGTTATGTAAGTTTATTAGGACGGAAAACATATTGCATGGTACGATAAGAACCAACAAGCCAGCGCTAATAACAGTGGGTTTAGATTACTGCCCGCTCTGTGTCTGATGATTGCTGTACGCCTTCTGCATATGTCATTTATCAATCCGACCATTTATCTAGCCGCGCTAGGCTATAAACTGCTAAAATCTGAAAGGGCGTGTTTACACAAGCGATTTCTCAGTTCGACCAAGAGACGGTTTAGACTTGGTTCAGTGTGTGTGAAAGGGTGTGTCTGGGCTTATAAAGTCCAAACCTGTAATTCCTTCGCCTTTACTTACTGTTAACAAACAGGCCATTATCTTATCAACCGATGGGGTGAATCTGTATATTTTGGCTGATTAAGGTCTATGTAACAGATATGTATATAGCCTACTATACCTTAGGACGTACTGTACCTTATACTGTAGGTTACATTTGGTCTCCAGCGATTTTGGAAACAATTTGTCTTTCAATTATCAAAAAGGGATATAATGGGACTGGTTAGTCCAAGGACATGTCTTTGAGTAGTGAATGATGCGTTTTAAAAGATCTCTTCTAGCCAGGACAGCAGCTTCGATGAGATGCATGGTAGCCTGTTCACGTGTTGTGGAATGTGCTGGGATGAGGCCTATGACAGTTTCTTTTTTTCAATTCAAGATTTAAACTTTAAAACAATACAGTGTACCAACGCGATTTAGGGTTTGTTGAGATTAAATCTGAAAGTCTGAACTTTGTTTTTAGGTTTCGAGTGGTAATGATGAGTTCAAATTGTTTCTGGTAAGGAACTAGATGTTAGATCCGTTCAAATGTGTCAACATGTTGTTCGGCGTGTCGATGATATTCTCAAACTATGGCATCCCTGCTCGGTGACAAGTGGCCAATCTCTATTGCCTGCAAACCGCTTTGGTTTCGAGTTCAGTTCAATTCAAACATGATCTTGGACCAGCAGTTTGTTTATGGAACAAGACTATTTTCTGCACCTGTGTTATACTGTGCGTCATTGTATTCAATAGCGATTCTTGCCTTCAAACCACATCCTTTTTATCTTACAATGATGCCGGTTATGTGGAGCAATGTTGCGTGTGCTTTTGCAGTGTGAATTCGTCTTTCATTGCTACCATCTTTACTCATATACAGTGCTTCTCGTTTTGGATGTCTTTTGTTTTCAGAAGTTATTCTAGTACATCGATAACATGATAAACAATTGTTCTGTAAATTCCTTGTGTAAATATGACGGTCGCCACAATGCTGTTTATTGAATCCCATAACGCGAGCCTGAAAAGCACCAATTCCATTACATGGTCATATAACCGTTTATATTGTTTTCACCTAACAGTTAATAGAACAGCACGATTCCCTTGATAAAATTCCTCAATTTGGATTCTTGTGTTATTAGCAAGGAGACGAAAAGGAAACAAAGAAGATTTAGTGAACTTATTAGATAAGTGAATAAGAAAAGTGGGCCAAAGCGGATCCCGGGGGCGGCGGGGCTACGCCCCCCTTTTTTCCAAAGACAAATGAGATCATTCACCACATCCCTAACTCTACCAATGAAAACAAACCCAGCCGCCCACGTAACCATATTTTCATATTTCATTGAGAGAAGGATGGGAGTAAAGAAAATGAAGGATAAACAATCTCCCTTCTCCCCATAATATCCTGGCTTAAAGTTTTAACACATACATTTGTACTCTGCTCTATACATTGGTAGAGCAAAAAAATTGAATTTTTCTGGAAGTTTTAGGAATTTTCCTTTGACCACTAGAATGTATTTTCATCCCAAGTCGCCCAGAAAAGTAAACATTGGTCCTATTTTCGAGTTTCTAATTTTTAAATGATAACCGTTTAGGCGACCTTTATCTCCATTGCCAGAGTGGATGAAATATCAAAAACTTAAAACTCGGCGTGGTTGTGGATGTGGCGTATCCTGGCGATCAAGGAGAAGTTGAAGAATGTTTCAAGAATATTACTTTTTGCTGTATAAAAGTCTCGCTCCTTGTATGGCAGGTAACCCCAGTACTCATTTTCCTATCGTCACCTGTTATATTGTTTTGCTGCCAGGATAAATCAATACGACCTCGGTAAATACGTAATTGGAAAGAATGACACCTAAATTAAGACATGTTGACATTATGAAGAACATGACAAAACATTTCATTTTCTGGGTTAAGCACGCCATTTTCATTCATCCAATCAAAGTGCACAGCAGTTGGCTCAGAATCGAAAACAGTAAATGTTTGTGTCCCGCTTATAGAACTGACCAAATTGCCTGTTTAATAGCACCACACACATTGATATTTCCCTTGCGTGTCAGAACACTTAAATAGAGTGTTAAACGCGGATACCAAACTCAACAACTGCAGCGTCACAAATTAAGACGCAATACTGCGGCGTTATACACCGGTATCAAATTCAACTCTTAGGAACACTGGTAGAATATTGGAATTTCTTACAACGAGAAAGACAATATACCGAAAACAATACCGAAAACACGATAGACTCTAGTTAGACCTTTAAAAACCAATGTATCTCTATCCAACAGACGGTGTATTTTTCACATGCCAATTCCCCATCATTCGGGTTGAGTTGAATCTGTAGATTTAGGCCTGATTTTTAGGTATGATGGATCCCAAAAGTGCATCCACTGATTAGAAGAGGAATGAAATGTGTAATCATCCTCGAATACCCCTTTTTTCTATTTTAAGTATTTATGTATTAATTCATTCATTATTCTTTTTTGTTTATTTCATTGTCTGTTTATTTGTCCATTGAGTTATTTTCATTCTGTGCTCGAATCACTTCAGAGGAAACCCGGGCATCCAGTTTTTCTCATAAAACGTATTCGTTGTATGCAAATCACAAAGGTATATGAGATACATTAATAGCCAGAGATAAAGCCGAGATAAAAGGGGTTGATAAAAGCATGCTTAAATAAAAACGAAATCGAACAAGCCAAACCTTTTATTCAGCAAGGTGTGTGTACGTAGATTATACCTCCCAGTTGGGCACGATGGGATTTGGGTTTAAACCACAAGGATTAGAGAATGTATTTCCATAGGAGAAAGCTATACAGAAAATTCCCCATATTTTTTTTAAAATGTTGTAGCAGCGTTTGGGAGGAAAGGGGGGGGGGCAGGGAAGTGCCCTTATTCTCGATGTCCTGGTTCCGCTAAATATTTTCATTTACGTTTTACTGTTAGTTCTACTGTTAGCGAATGTAATGAGACAATAGTACCTTGACCTTAAATGTTCAATCTGTAATGCAGTGTCATCAAACGTTGTACAATATTTCCTATCAATTTAAGGTTAAGAAGTACCTACTTAAACATACTTCTGGTGACATACCAAAGGAAATTAAGTATAAATGGCAGTTTTGGTGAATTGATCGAATTAACATCAAGGAAAATGCCCGAAGGGTGTTAATCAAAATGTTTTGCAGTTACAGTGGTTTATACTACATGTATCTGCATCCGGGGAAAACATTGTAAAATATCTGTTTCGTTCTCTATAATCT